CATTCATGTGAGTCCAGATACAAATGTACCTATACAACAAAATCTGTAGTAAAGACTTAGTTTGATGAATTATATTAGTATCACTGAAGAATTTCATTAACAACTATTATATATACCTTGTAGGCTAGAACAATGAATAACGCAAATTAACTACCCAAACATGTGAGGCTAGATACAATAACTACCTATACACCAAAATCTGCAGTATACACTTTGTTTGATGAGTTATATTAGTATCATTGAATAATTTCATTAGAAAAATTCTATATATCTTGGAGGCTAGAATAAGGAATGAGGAAAATAACTACCCATTCATGTGATTCCATATACAAAAACTACCTATACAACAAAATCTGTTGTAAAGACTTAGTTTGATGAATTATATTAGTATCACTGAAGAATTTCATTAACAACAATTTTATATACCTTGTAGGCTAGAACAATGAATAACGCAAATTAACTACCCAATCATGTGAGGACAGATACAATAACTACCTATACACCAAAATCTGTAGTATACACTTAATTTCATGAAATATATTAGTATCACTGAATAATTTCATTAGAAACATTCTATATGTCTTGGACGCTAGAAAAATGCACAAGGCTAATTAACTAACCATTCATGTGAGTCCAGACACAATGACTTCCTATACATCAAAATCTGTAGTATACACTTAGTGTGATGAATTATTTTGGTATCTTTCAAGAAGTTCATTAACAACAATTTTACATGACTTGTAGGCTAGTATGATAAATAAGGCAAATTAACTACCCAATCATGTGAGGACAGATATAATAATTACCTATATACCAAAATCTTTAGTATACACTTAGTTTCATGAAATATATTAGCATCATTGAATAATTTCATTAGAAACATTCTATATGTCTTGGACGCTCGAAAAATTCACAAGGCTAATTAACTACCCATTCATGTGAGTCCAGATACAAAAACTACCTATATAACAAAATCTGTATTAAAGACTTAGTTTGATGAATTATATTAGTATCACTGAAGAATTTCATTAACAACAATTTTATATACCTTGTATGCTAGAACAATGAATAAGGCAAATTAACTACCTAATCATGTGAGGACAGATATAACAATTACCTGTACACCAAAATCTTTAGTATACACTTAGTTTCATGAAATATATTAGTATCACTGAATAATTTCATTAGAAACATTCTATATGTCTTGGATGCTAGAAAAATGAACAAGGCTAATTAACTACCCATTCATGTGAGTCCAGATACAAAAACTACCTATACAACAAAATCTGTAGTAAAGACTTAGTTTGATGAATTATATTAGTATCACTGGAGAATTTCATTAACAACAATTTTATATACCTTGTAGGCTAGAACAATGACTAACGCAAATTAACTACCCAATCATGTGAGGACAGATACAATAACTACCTATACACCAAAATCTGTAGTATACACTTTGTTTGATGAGTTATATCAGTATCATTGAATAATTTCATTAGAAAAATTCTATATGTCTTGGAGGCTAGAAAAAGGAACAAGGCTAATTAACTACCCATTCATTTGAGTCCAGATACAATGACTTCCTATACACCAAAACCTGTAGTATACACTTAGTGTGATGAATTATATTGGTATCTTTCAAGAAGTTCATAAACCACAATTTTACATGCCTTGTAGGCTAGTATGATAAATAAGGGAAATTAACTACTCATTCATGTGATTCCAGATACAAAATCTACCTATATAGCAAAATCTGTAGTAAAGACTTAGTTTGATGAATTATATTAGTATCACTGAAGAATTTCATTAACAACAATTTTATTTACCTTGTAGGCTAGAACAATGAATAACGCAAATTAACTACCCAATCATGTGAGGACAGATACAATAACTACCTATACACCAAAATCTGTAGTATACACTTAGTTTCATGAAATATATTAGTATCACTGAATAATTTCATTAGAAACATTCTATATGTCTTGGACGCTAGAAAAATGAACAAGGGTAATTAACTACCCATTCATGTGAGTCCCGATACAAAAACTACCTATACACCAAAATCTATAGTAAAGACTTAGTTTGATGAATTATCTTAGTATCACTGATGAATTTCATTAAGAACAATTTTATATACCTTGTAGTCTAGTACAATGAATAAGGCAAATTAACTACCTATTCATGTGATTCCAGATACAAAAACTACCTATATAGCAAAATCTGTATTAAAGACTTAGTTTGATGAATTATATTAGTATCACTGAAGAATTTCATTAGCAACAATTTTATATACCTTGTAGGCTAGAACAATGAATAAAGCAAATTATCTACACATTCATGTGAGGACAGATACAATAAGTACCTATACACCAAAATCTGTAGTATACACTTAGTTTGATGAATCATATTAGTATCACTGAATAATTTAATTAGAAAAATTCTATATGTCTTCGTGGCTAGAAAAATGAATAAGGCATATTTAACTGGCCATTCACTTGACTCCAGATACTATAACTACCGATACAACTAAATGTGTAGAATACACTTAATTTGATGAATTATATCAGTATCATTGAAGAATTTTAATTGAAACATTCTATATGTCTTCTTGGCTACAATAATGCATAAGGATAATTAACTACCCATTCATTTGAACCCAATAACTACCTATACACCAAAATCTCTATCACTGAAGAATTTCATTATAAACATTCTATATGTCTTGTAGGCTAGAATAATGAATAAGACAAATTAACTACCAATTCATGTTGGTTTAGATTCAATAACTACCTATACACCAAAATCTGTAGTATACACTTAGTTTGATGAATTATATCAGTATCATTGAATAATTTCATTAGAAACATTCTATATGCCTTGTAGGCTAGAATAATGAATAAGTGAAAATTATATACCTATTCAATTGAATCCAGTTACAACATCTATCTATTCACCAAAATTTGTAGTATACACCTAATTTAATGAATTATATCAGTATCATTAAAGAATTTTAATTGAAACATTCTTTATGTCGTCTTGGCTAGAATAATGTGTAAGGAAAATTAACTACCCATTCATTTGAATCCAATAACTACCTATACACCAAAATCTCTAGTATAGACTTAGTTTGATGAATTATATCAGTATCATTGAAGAATTTCATTAGAAACATTCTGTATGTCTTGTAGGCTAGAATATTGAATAAGACAAATTAATAACCCATTCATTTGAATCCAAACAAAATAACTACCTATACATCAAAATTTGTAGTATACATATAAATTGATGAATTATACCAGTATCAATGAAGAATTTCTTTAATAACATTCTATATATCATTAGGCTACAATAATGAATAAACAAATTAACTACCTATTGATTTGAGTCCAGATGCAATACCTACCTATACACCAAAGTCTGTAGTATAGACTTTGAGGAATTATATCAATACTACTGAAGAATTTCATTATAAACATTCTACATGTCTTGTAGACTAGAATAATGAATAAGGCAAATTAACTAACCATTCATGTGATTCCAGATACAATTACTACCAATACACCGAAATCTGTAGTGTACACTTATTTTGATTAGTTATATCAGTATCACTAATGAATTTCAATAGAAACATTCTATACGCTTTGTAGGCTACAATACTGAATGAGGAAAATTAACTACCCATTCATTTGAATCCAATAACTACCTATACACCAAAATCTTTTATATACACTTAGTTTGATGAATTATATACATAGCACTGAAGGATTTCATTAGCAACATTCTATATATCTTGTATGCTAAAATAAAGAATAAGTTAAATTAACGACCCATTCATGTGAGTTCAGATACCATAACTATGTATACACCAAAATCTGTAGTATACACTTTGTTTTATGAATTGTATCAGTATCATTGATATAGAATTGATATAGAATTTCATTAGTAACATTCCATATATCTTCTAGTGTAGAAAAATATTTAAGGCAAATTAACTACTCATTCGTGTGGGCTCACACAATAATTACCTCTACACAAAATCTGTAATATATACTTAGTTTGATTAATTATATCAGTATCATTGATGAATTTCATTAACAACATTCTATATATCTTGTAAGCTAGAACAATATATCAGGCAAATTAACTACACATTCATGTGATTCCTAACTGCCTATACACTAAAATCTATGTGCTGACTTTGAGTTTTAAAATCGTTCCATTTGCCATAAATTTTGATGCATATAATTTCTTACACCGAACTCTGTGATATAAAAATAATTAGATATATTATATCATTTCCTCTGAAAAAGTTTATTAACGGCATTCTATGTCTGTTGTTGATTGAAACAATGCATCTACTTAAGTAACTATGTATTCATGTAACTGCTGATGAAATAACTATCTATATGCCAAAATCTATGATGTATGAATTGGTATTTATATTATATATATCTGTCTCTCAATAAATACAAAATGATATTTTATTTGTAGACTAGAAAGATATCCAGTTTCCTATTTTCTTTTAGTACATTTATTTGTGATGGACCACAATATATTTAAGTGTGTTACATATATTTAAATGACTTAAATGACTTCTCCAAAATGTATCATTTTGTGCTTTACTTTTTAAGAATTTTTTGTAATATTTACTTATAAAGTTCTTTTAATTGAAATGTTAATAATAATTACAAATTAATTTTGTCATGTCTAATATTATTATCTTTTTGTAAATGTGAGGCAAATATTGAATTACCTGTGTAATGACATATAAATATTGGTACATGAAAGGTTTTTATTTATTTTCTGCTGTGAACTTACTTTTATGCCGATTATATAATGAAATTGTTTACATGTTTCTCTTTATATAGGAGATATATCTATTTGTGATTTTTATTATTAAATTACTTTACTATATATATATAATTATTTCTTATGAGTTTAGCATTTATAATGCTATGTGTTAATAATGTTTTTCAAACTATTGTAATTTTTTTTTTCAGTTGCTATCACAGCTATAGAAATGAATTCATCTTTGAATGATATTGTTCTGGAAACTGAAGTAAAAAACTTAATTGGAAAAAAAATATCCAATTGGGATGTCATTCTCTTTGGAGATATGCTTTATGACACAAGTATGTTACATGAAATCCATAATTGGCTGTCATCTTTACCCCAAGAAACAATAATTCTCATTGGAGATCCTGGACGTACTGATTCCATAAAGTTGGAAAAACTAAATTTTAAAATAATTGCCGAGTATGAATTATCAGATCATTGCAAATTAGAAAATCCTGGGTACATGACTGGTTCAGTTTGGCATAAACCTGGGTACATGACATGTTCAGTTTGATATAATCCTGGGTACATGACATGTTCATTTTGATATAATCCTGGGTACATGACATGTTCAGTTTGATATAATCCTGAGTACATGACAGGCTTAGCAACATAAAAACTATAACAAGGAAGATTTATTTTTAATGTAAGTATAAGATAATTACTATTAAAATCATAAACTTTTAAAAATTTTATTTACATTATTTATATTTTTCAGAATGTTCTCATCTTTATTACCATATTCATAACATTTTGACCATTGTATGCTTTCGCCTTCTTCAGGTAATATTTGGAATTTCAAACCAAACCCTTTATTTAATTCACAGGAGTAAATTGTTCTAATTCCATTTGGATATTTCAGTTTTAGTTAATTCCCTTTGATAACTAAACTCTCCAAATTTTTGTTCTCTCTGGTTTGACTATTGATCATCAACTCTCTAAGTTTTTGTTCTCTCTGCTGTGACTCACTACTCTTTGGGCCAAGTTTCTTTTTGATCAATCAACCAATGCTTTTATCTACTGGGCCATGTGTCCTTGGAGACTTATAAATCTAATATCTCAGTAACCATTTTTACCAGAGCTCATATTAGAATTTATTTTTGTTATTGTTGTTTTTCTCTGGCTCTCTGTATTACTGGTTCCCATATTGTATTCATTTCTATGCTTGACTTGCTCAGGAGATTTTATAGCCTAGCATATGTGCTGATTCCTTAAATTTTAGTATTTTCCAATGATGTTCTCTATCTATTATTTAAACTTCATCCCACAGAGGGCAGTGATCTCCCTTTTCCCTCCATATGTGGTCAGTCATGCTTGATATTTGTATTTCCCCTAGTGTTAAAATTCTTTAGTTCATACACTCTTATTGAAATGACTTCATCTGTTCCATGTATGACAGTCAGATGTTTTTTCATCTCTTAAGGTATTACAGATGAGAAGAGGGTTGTCATGTAGTTTGGGATTAATCTTAAAAAATATTTTAGAAGGGCAGACTTGTACATCCATTTTTATTTTTTATTATTGAGTGAGAGTAAGTAAGACAAATCCACAAGAAATTTGGACTTAAAAAAAACTTTTCACCCCAAACAAGGCAATAATGCCACTAAAAGGCAAGGGTTTACTGAGAGTGAAAGAGAATGAGAAGAATTTAGTGAGAAGAATGACAATAACAGAACAAAATTCAAAAAGACAGAAGAGGGTGATTGACATTGCATTTAAAGTTTTGAAGATTGCAGGTGGCAAGGAAGCAAGAAATTGGAAGAGTTTCACAGGTGAGAAATGAAGAAATGCATTTCTCACCTGTGAAACTCTCTTCCAATTTAGAATACTTTCTTAGAATACTATGAGAAACTATTAGAATAGAAATGACAGTTACATCTATCTCTTTTAGCAATAAAGGTAGTTGCCAGTCTGGTAGTACACTAAAATTCATGTGGTCAGGCCACCAAGGAGTAAAGCTCATTAGAACAATTGCCATGGAAATATTTATAGAAAAGATGGAGGGAAACAGTGGCGGGAAAGTGACTAGAGCTGAGATACCAAGTCAAGACTGATAACATTACAAACCCTTCTTTTGATTTTGTTGAGAATCTCAAGACATATAGCAGAAGCACCAGACTACATTGGGCAACAGTATCCAATGCACAGATAAATGACAGATTTATAAATACACAACATGGATTCTGATGAGAAAAATTGTCTGGCACAACACAGTGAACCCACTTTCCTAGCAGTAGATGCAGCTATTGATTTGATATATAGTCACTACACTTCATGTCGGTGGAAAATGTGAGGCCAAGGAAGCACAATGAGTTGCTCTCCTGGTATTTAGCATCAGCCATGTTAATAGATGGAAAAAATGGTTCTCTGTGATAATTAAAGGATAGTAGTTTCATTTGGAAGCATTTAAATTTACAAGCCATTTTTTGTCCCAGTTAACAACTGATTGGAAGTCATTTTCAAAAACATCTGATAGTTTTAATTTGTTGGACATAATGGACTTACTGTTAAACCACAAGAAAATAGTTGTGCCGTCAGCATAAATATATACTTTGGAACTGATGACATTGAGAAGGTCATTGATGAAGAAAGGAAACAATGTAAATCCAAGGAGAGAGCCCTGTGGGATACTTGCATTAATATGAAATGAAATTTTTTCAAATCCATCAATACAAATGTTTAAAAGGCATTTCAATTTTTAAAAATTTTTAGGCAATGTTATTTAGACCCATATTTCCCAATAAAACTGTCTAACAGCTGTCTATCTTTATATTTGCTAACCTTTTAGGAATTTCAAAATTAATCCTTTATTCAATCCAAAAGAATAGGTTGTTCTTATTCCATTTTTCATGCTTAGGGGTTATTTAGATCCTTATTTTCTATTAAAACTGTCCTTCCTCATTATTATATGCTTTACTATTCAAACCAGTTTACTCATCTTGGTTACTATACTCATAATATTTTGGTCATTGTCCACTCTGGCTTTCTTCAGGTGTCTATCCTTATATTTGCTAACCTTTTAGGAATTTCAGTGAACCCTTTATTCAACCCAAAAGAGTAGGTTGTTCTAATTTCATTTTCTATTTAGTAGATATTTTGTATTAGTTAATACCAGTTTTAATTACCTTTGTCAATTGTTTGTTTCTTTTAATGAACGATAGCATGTGACTTTTCATTACTACCAGAGTCAGAGATTGAACTAACAACCTCTAAGGAACTAGATATGTTTTAACCAATTCTTTAATTTACTAGGCCTCATGTCTCTTGCAAAGCATATAATAATGATAATTCTTCATTTAAAAAATTCTGACAAAAATCCATTTTCCTCTGTTTTCCTGTTTCTTGCTGTCTCTCTCTCTCTCGCTCTCTCGTGCACACTCTCTCACAATTTCTCATGCATATTCTTGTGCTCTCTCTCTTTCTCTCACGATCTCTCTCATGCAAGCTCTCTTGCTCACGATCTCTCATGCTTGCTCTCTCTCTCTCTCTCTCTCTTTGAGAGATGAAAGGATTTTTTATTTGGTAAAAAACCCTATGAAAAAATAGTTAAAAAAATGTTTGTGGTGACATTTAATTTATAAGGACACACAGCAAAGACAGACAACATGAGTTGAATTTAAAAAAACTGATGGTAAATTTATTGCTAACAAACAAAAATGAAAGAATGACAAAAATTAAGTACTTCGTGCGCCAAATGATGGCCAATAACATGCATGTAAAAATAATGCAAATGAAATATGCATCTTTTACAATAAATATTACAATACTGCATAATGTTCCTCAGAAAAGGCAGACAATATAAAAATAAAAGTAAAATGAAGAAAGGAGAAAATACTTCTCTGAATAGTTTTCAAAAAATAAGTACAATTTTTGAAGCAAAGTCCATGGTAACAGCAAAGAACAAACCTATCACACCAGCTGAATAATTTTCTTTGTTGAGAGAGTGATTTTGATGTTCCTTTCAATTCTTGTCTGGTAGTCGTCAAATTTCTTCTGTGTTGCTTTTCTTCCTGGACTGGGGTGACCTGGGTTTATGCAGCAGCTGTTAGTTGACTCCTTGAATTCAATTCTTGGCCTTCTATTTATTCATTCATATAGACTTCAGATTCACTTCTTGGAATTTGGAGGGAAAACATCTGATTGGCTCCGAATGAAAAAAACGCAGCTATTTTCCTACAAATCAAAATGTACCAAAATATTTTTGAAATTCAAAAGTTTAAGAAAGAGCCCAATGTAGCATCTGTTTTCTGTAAGTAAAATAGATGATACATGCTCAAATAGCTTATATTGTTTATATTGTACAGGCTGCCCACTGAGAGAGAGTTCTGAAGCTATGTGCCACGATGTAGTGATAGAGAGAGGTGTGGAAGGAGAGAGAGTTGAAGGAGAAAAATTGATCCATTAGTCTGTCATGATAGAAGTAGCAGAAACCGTCCCAAGTGTCACCAACCTACCTCTTCCCCCAACTATGACGTCAACCCCTTTGGTCCATTCGATTCCTGCAGCTGACCGTTGAATGGATCACTTCAATCAAAGCTTTGCCTTGCCCCACGTTGTGTTTGGTTCAGATCACAAGGCTGGCGAGGAATCGTTGAATTAGTTTGGTCTGGACAGAGTTAAGCCATAAGTTAAAAAAAAAATTGTATAAAAGAAAATGTTTTATATAATGTTTCTTGTACAGTGCTGGTAGTACAATTATTAGTTCTTCAGTCAATAATGTATATTCTTCATGCAGGAATATATTCATCATGCAGAGTTATCGACCCTTCCCTTTTTGAATATTTCATGACACTTTGTTTGCCATGGCTAAGCCTAGACAAGGCTTCTGGAACAACTTAAGCTGGAGGCTTCAGGCAGGAAGTCACGTGAAATCAAGTGAAGCGGTCATCTCTCGTCTGGCATCTCGAACAGCTGCCCTGTTGGTCACTCCTGTTTATATGGACCTCTGTCCAAAACTGGCATGTCGTCTGACGAGGTCTGGGGTTTTGGTAAATCCCCTGATCTCTACGTCCTTTGTCGTCTGACTCCGGAAAATTAATTGCATGTCCAACTTGATCCCTGATCCCTTCTATTTTCTCAATCAGGCATTCATCAACTGTTCTTCTGACAGCCACTTCTTGTGGTATTTCAGCTCTTATCTAAAGAAATTTCACCACTCCAGTGATTCACACCGTCCCCTTAACACCAGTCTAGTGCTGCGTTTAAATTAAAAAAAAAAAATCCAAGTACCATAGCAAAGAGCTCATTCAAACAATTACCATGAAAGTATTTATAGAAAAGACACAGAGAGGCAACGCTATGACGGTGGGAAAGTGACTGGAGCTGAGCCACCAGATCAAGACCAATAATATTGCAGATTCTTCTTTTGATCTTATCAAGAAGCTCAAGTTAAATAGCAAGGGCATCGAACCATATGTGACAGCAATATTCTAAGTATGGATGAATGGCAGACTTCTAGATATGTAATTCTGGAGAAAAAAATTGTCTCGCTCGATATATTGAACCGACTTTCTTAGCAGCTGGCCTAGCAATGGATTCAGTATAGACTTTCCACTTCATTTCAACAGAGAACGTAAGCCTGAGAAGGTGCAACGCGTCACTTTCCTGGAGGATAGCATCAGCCATGTTGATGGAAGGCAGTAAGAGGTCACTCAGATGATTAATGGAGAGAAGTTTAGTAAAATTAACAAGCTATCTTTTGCTTCAGTTAACTACGGACTTGAGGCCGTTTTGGACATCAGCTGCCATTTTGAGCTTGTCAGATTGATTAGCCTTAATATCGAGGCAGGAGTAAATCAGTAATGTAGAAATATTTGTGATAGTACTTTTTGAATATACACAGAAAGAACTTATCAAAATGTTGTGTAAGTAACTATATTTTTATAGTTTGAATTTCTTTTCATGAAAGAAATTAATGTGAATCAGTTGAAGTATTCTTTAAGTTGAACTGAAGAAAAAATATATATGACTAAATTTGAATTTCATTTGTTAATGAGTTTTTTGTCGCCTAAACTAGAAGGTGTTGTCTATGTTATCAACAATACTGAATCAGATGTTATTTTTTATTATCTAATTAATGCTGCTTACTTAACAGTCATGGAATTGAAAACTACCTCAGTGTTACGATAAACAATAACAGAGGCTAGATAAAATATAATAAAAATTAATGACGCTTCATCTAAGAAATTAAGGTGTAGATAAACCAGATGACGTAGAGAAAGTATCAAGCTATGTAAGTATACTGCAGTCAACCAATAAAACTCATTGTGTAAAAGGGTGCAGTTATGTGAGATAGACGCTTTCGATACGTTACTGACGAGGCAGCTTTTTTCCCGGAGTAGGTTGCCATTTCTTTCTGCGGTAGACCAGTTGCCATCCAAAGCTATGGAACCCGGCCTGTTCTGCTACTTGCCGATCCCTACTGGAGGGAGAAGAAGAGGATTCATACCTTTCCCGAGGGTATTAGCACGTAAGTGAATGTAATGGATTCGACTGGAATTCGAACTCGGCTCTCCGATTCCTCAATCCGAGTCGCTATCCATTACTCCACTGGCAGTTAGTTACTAAATTTAAAAAGAAAATATGACAAGATTAAAAGAACTTCTTGAAGCTTTAAAAATCGCCTAGTTGAGACCTATAATGATAAGGGAAGGCTATATAAAGCCATCAAAACGAGTTGGAGTGCACGTCTCCACTATGCGACAAATTATTTTTGAGATGTCTTTGGTATGACGTCATCGCAACCAAGAAATGGGCGCCCGCAAAAAGTAACTGCAAGAGCAAATAGATATCTAGTTCTGCAAGCCCAGATGAATACTGCTTTGGTACCTGATGTTCTCCAAGACTCAATGTCGGCATCAATGTGTATACGTTTACAATGCGACGAAATCTGAACGATGCCAGTCTTCACGGCAAAATGCCTAGAAAAAAAGTCACTGCTTACGAAAAAGCACAAACAAGCTTGGCTCAACTATGTCAAAGCTCAAATTAATAAGCTACAAATGTTCCAGCAAAAGGCTTTATAGTTGAATAATACCAAACTAGACCTTTTGGGAGGAAGGACAGGCGTTGGGTCTGGTGAGCTCCTAAAACGGCTTTTGAAGAGAATAATTTGGTGCCAACAGTTAAACATGATGGAGACAGCATCATAATATGGGGGTGTTTTGTTGCAACTGGGATAGTACGTATTGATGGCACAATAGACTGAAAAATATCAAGCAATTAGACGAAAGTGTCTTGCTCTCGTTTCGAAAGTTGGGTTTAGGTTGGAGCTGGCTCTTCCAACAAGACAATGATTAGAAGCATCAAAGCAAATTCACAAAAAGAATGGGTTCGAAAAGTAGTCAAAATCCTGATTTAAACCCAACTGAAAATCTGTGGTTCAAGTTAAAGAAGATAGTACATACAAGAAATCCAGAAGTTTTGCAAAAATTGCCAGAAACTGCTTAAAAATATAGAAAAAGACTGGTCGATGTAGTGACCTCAAAAGGAGGAGTTACCAAATATTAAATGAAAAGGTCCTTTTACTTTTGTACATCTTAATTTTTAATTAATATTTTCATTCCAGCTTGATAAAACTTTTGAAGGTGAATGTAATTCGTTTAATAAAGTTATAAAGGTTTCTGTTAATGAATATATAGTTTAATTATTTGTGCTGATTATCTGTAAAAAAGATATTTTTTTAAAAATATTATGTTAGGGGTTCACTTTTGCGCAACACTATATATATATATATATATATATATATATATATATATATATAAACATAACCGTCCATGAGGCAAATACTGCCATGGTTTCTCTATAGCATACAAACTGACCCAGATGGTAGATAACCTACTCGGGTTCCCGATATAAATGAGTGTTGTGCAAACCTTCTAAACTTCTTTTTCACCCCCTCTCCCAATAAATGTTTCGTTGAAGTTTTATCTCTCTTTAGCACCTCAAACCACTCTCCAATCAATTTCAAAGTTGATCTCAAACCAAGGGCTTCCTCTGATGTCCTATTTCATGGGACAATCTACCGATACACCAATGCTAACTGAGATAGCTTCAGATAATACATTGCCGAAGCTCCACTCTCAATATTCTTCAGGAATAGAGTTGCAAAAACCCTCATTTCCAATGACTCCTTTCATGTATGGAAAATTTCATCCTCCATACCGAGAAATACCAAATAGCCAGCCCTGCTTCACGCCCAAATGTGCTGCGGCCAGAGGAGACATTTGAAAAAAAAATCCAAGACGGAATTTAACATTTTGGCAAAGTCGATAATTACACTCTCGAATATTTTTTGTTAAATTAAGTTATTTTTACTTTTAATAAGTGTAGCATTCTAGAGATCGAAGTTGTGGTTGAAATTATTTCTGTGTATAATTAATGCATTTGATAAACTGTTATGTATTAGATCTTTTTGTGTTCATAAATACTTTTAAAAATTTTCTGCAGGTTTCAGCAATATATTGTAAGGAACAGTTGTAACAGTTTATTTTAGAAATAAAAAATA